GTACAAATGAGTAAAAGCAATAGGAGTAGACAGGGCCCAAGGGAATGGCATGGAGCTGTGTCAGGGGAGGGCAGCTGGGGATTAGGGACAGGGTCTGCACTGCAAGGCGGTGGGCATGGAACTGGCTGCCCAGGGCAGCGGGCATGGCCCTGAGTGCAGCAGTTTGAGGGGCACTGGGACACCACTCTCAGACACAGGTTTTGGGTTTTGGGTGGTGCTGTATGGAACCAGAAGTTGGATTTGATGACCCTTTTGGGTCCTTTCCAAATCAGGGAAGTCTGTGTTTCTGTTAGCCCACTGCTGGAAAGCGTAAATTAAACCGATGCAAAACCTGAGCAGAAAGTGTTTTTTGGACCTAAAAGAGAAAATTTATTTTGAAGTAACGTTACTCATAAGTTTTCCACCCCACCTCCTTGTCACTGAAGTCAGATTCTTACATGTTCTGGAAAAGTTTAAGCAACTAGATTTTATTTCTCTTATTTACTCGATTAGATAGTCTGAAAGTCACTAACCACAAATACCACAAGGAAGAAGACAATTAAAACTTAACTTTTCTGCCTTCCAGCAGAAGCACCTTCTGTCATATTTTTTTTTTTTTCCAAAATGCGGAGGATGAAGAGTACAAGAACATCCCAATCAATTAGTATCCTGGAAAACATCTTGTGAGAAATCTGGTACTGGACTTAATTGCAGGCAAGATCACAAACACTTATGTGTTTGTTGTGAGGTTTGGTAGCAGGATACTTCACGTATGCTGGAGATGGAGAAGAATCCATTGCGCATCTTTAATAAAGTAATTACCTGATGTTTCCTTTTAATGGCCATGCTGGGGACTCTGGTGTTTCAGGGTGAAAACCATGTATTTCTAAATGCAAGGTGAAATTTTGATTCAAATTCAATGAAACTTTCATGCTAATTTAACTTTCTCCCAAGATATGCTTAACTGTTGCAATGCTACATGAAGAAAGGAAGTGAAAACTCCTGTTTTTACAGTTTTATGTTCTTCCTTAGCAGAATTAAATCATGAACAAAGCTGTGTATTTTTAGCACCCAATGTTAATATTCAAAAATATTCTTTAGGGACACTAGGATCTTCAATGTTTTTCTTTGTTACTGTGAAGAAACTCTCCAATTGCCTGTGTAATGAACTGTTGCATAGAGTTAACTTGGCAGAGATGTGATAGCATCCAGTGGGTCAAGCATAATTGAGTGCTTACCTCAATTTCAGAAACTAAATTAAGTCTTAAATTCTCTTGGACATTTACATTTATATTCCTAATACTTACAGAACGAAGTTTCAGATCAGGAGGTAACAATGCCACAAATGTTTTTCAAAAAGGAAAAGCTCACTCTGTTAATTTAGACCAAACTTAGCATTTAAATCAAAACCAAAATCCCACAGTGTAGATTAAATTGTATTTGCTTGTATTTTACATCTCTCGCTCTATCTGTGTTCCTTTATATATTACTGCAGTGTTCTTGAGTCAAGAGCTATGATAAAAGTAAATCATACTGTATCACTGTTATGTTGGTAGGTATATTTTTCTTGATGGGAAGATGGTTCTTGTTTGGTTTGGGTAATATGTGATGATTGTATTGGAATTTTGTTTATATAAAGTTTGCTTTAAATTAGTGTAGTTTGACCAAAATTAGGAGAGTGGAAAAACACTGTTAGGAGAAAACATAAGCATGGATCAAAGAGTTCATATCCTCAATTGCATTTTACATACCTCATCTTAACTTCAGAGTTCAGTTTGGGTAAAAATTATGTTTATAGAATCATAGAATGGTTTGGGTTGGAATGGACCTTAAAGACCATCTAGTTCCAACCCCCTGCCATAAACAGGGCCCCTACTGCTATATCAAGATGTTCAAGGCCCCATTTAAACTAACCTTGAACACTTCCAAGGATGAAGCATCTACAGTTTTAATTTCTGAAGCATCTGTAGTAACACAATAATACTAAGGATGCAATGCTTTGTGCTAAAGAGTATGCAATTAAATCAAGATAAAATATTTAGTTTAAATGTACTATCTAAAGATACAGATTTGGAGTTCTGCCTGCATGAACCTTGTCAAATATTTGGACAGAATGGAAAGTATGGTTTGCTTCAAATTATTAATTTTGAAATACTTTAGCTAATAAATGATTCAACCAGAAAAAATGTCTGTTTTGAGTCATTAGGGAACCTAGTTTAAAGATACGTAAGTAAAAATTGTCTAAAACTGCAATTTTCAAAGATTAGCATCTACAGGTCAGATCAGATTTGAAACAATTGTTCTTTAGGAAAGCATTGAAGCTCATGGCAGATTAATATTAACTTTATGTTTTCCATGCCTGTTTTTTTCTAAAGTTTCTTCTTTTAAGCTTTTTTTCTCCAGTTGTCTCTGTGAGCTTTTTCAAGGCTGTTTTGCTGAACCGCTGTAATAAACCAGCAGCTCTGTGTTGTTCTTACTGTTGCAAAATATTATTCAGGATTTATTTCCAAATTATATTGCAAGACTTCTTTTCTGCTACTCAGAATAGCCTCGTGCAGATCTGCAGATCCTGTTCTTCATCTCCTTCTCTGTCTGCCCTGAGCCCTGGCTGTGCCCTCTCCAAGCAGGTGTGGGTGTTCAAGCCGGGGGCAGAGATACAGCATGAGTTTTGCATATCATTCCACATTGCATGGTGGTCTTTCCTTAGTATAGGAAGACCTAAAACCTATATATCTGGACCTGTTTCACCCCTTGTGTTCACGACAAGCAGCTCCAATTCCATCAAAAAAGCTCTAAAAGAGGTGGATGCCACTGTCAACAAAATAGCCTGAAATTTCTTGTTTCCAACTGGAAGGAAGCTGGAGTGACCTCATGGAATCCAGACAGTTTCTTTTAGATAGGGTACTGGGAAGGTGAGGATGTGAGAGTATGAGAAGGGGTGAAGATGGAGCTAGAAGTAGAAAACAGTTGGGAGTTGTAAAATGTAGGCAGATATTGAGATGATATAGCAGGAAACTGAGGACTTCTCTGAAAAAAACAAACCATCAGCAATCAAATTTTATGTTATTCTTGCACCGATCTAACCCCGTGGGCAGATGTTCCTATGCTGGAATAAGAGCATGCCACTGTGATTAAAAGATAATATCCTTGGTGGATGTTTTTTCCCACATAGATGATTCCTGAGTCAAGTACTGACTGTAGAAAGGAGACCGAAGTTCTAGAATTAGGGAGATGTGTAAGGGAGATACTTAAAGAATGGAAAAGCAGGGGGTTGGGGCACAGTGGAAGAGCAAGGGTTTTGCCTTGGCTCAGGGGTGAGGATTGAATGCTTTTTCTGAATTGCTCATTTTAAATACTGTTTTTTTCAACGCGCTGCGCATGATTTTCCCTCTCCTATTTAGTTGAAGTGATATTCTGAAAACCGTACATCAGTTCTGTAGCAGTGCTTCAGGGAAGTGGGGACTTTTAGCAAACAAACAAACAAAAAACAAAGAAAAATTGAAAAATAAAACAAATCTGAAATGTATTTGAGGAAGAACCAATAGCCTCTGTGTTATTTGTGCCTCTGGCAAGTCCGTATGTGAGATTCTTTGTAAATGACTGCGCTAAACAGCATGCTGGGGCTGTAACAGCTAAGCCTTCAGCTCTCTGCAATGTCTCCTGACAGCACTTAAAATGCTGTTCCATAGGTTGCTGTGGTTGCTATGTTGATTGAAATAGATTTAATGAACGGCTTTGAAGTCAGTATTGAAAGCCTGTGTTTAGGGAGGGGACTTCCTATGTAGCAGTGTGAATGTTAACACTGAAGATCAGAATTGTAAAGTGTTCATATCTGGAAGACCTGCTAAAAACTGAAAGGGGAAAGAACACACTTTGGTCCTTTACATGAAAGCTCTGTTCTTTATCGCTCACTTTTTTGGCAGTGTGTACAACTATATGTACTTGCAAATATTCATCTTGCAGAAAGCAGTAGGCAGTTTGAAATCAGAAATAACTCTATCAGGCTCTTCTCTTTATTTATTTTAATGGAAGGTTTCCAAAATTTGTCTAAAAAAATTCCCACTTTCCCATAAGCTCCATTTGGACATAGACTAGCACTTCCTTAGGACTCAGATGTCATTAAATGTCAGTACTTTTCAGCACAGCTACTGAATCCCAAAGAAAATCTTACAGTGGAAGAGCCATTTTGTTGAATATGACACTTCTGAGCATGAGACTTTTATTTACTATTTTGGAAGGGCGCACTTTAATTGCTTTGAAATAACACATAATTTTCAATTCCAACATATTAAATTTAATATTGAAATTTGAACAAATGCTTTAAGTTTTACATTTAGCAGAAGAATAAAAAATAAGGTTTTTTTTTTTGTGGAATGAAAGACTTTAAAGTGAAAAATTCCGTAAGAAACAAAAATGACTTATGTGAAAAACTAGTGAGGGAATATTCTAATTGCAGTCAACCGTGTATCAGCAATGATTGTATTGATGAACATAACACATTTTTTATGATATTTTGCAATGGTTCTGTTATGCAAAGAACAGTCAGTTCAAATAACTTTCAGAACGGGGGCGAGGGAGAACACCGACTAATTCCATCTGTTACATTTTGCTCTGTAAATGAGTTCTTCCAGCACTGAAAGGTTGATAGTACTTGGTTACTGGGATGGAGCTGAGCTGTTCAGTAGGGAGCTGGGGCTTTGGCAAAGATTCCTATACAAACTGAGAAATAATAAATGGGGTAGGCTTTGGCATTTGCTCTGTAGTTTTAGTGATTTTTTTTCTTTTTCTTTCTTTCTTTTAATCCTCCTCTGAGTTTTGTTTTTGTTGATTAAATTGGCAGAAAGCTTGTATTTTCCAAAATAGGTTGACATTTCATATTTGCTAAATGTGAAAGTTGGTTTTCAGATGCTTTTTGGACTCTGAGGTAATTGTGTATCTTTTTAACTTTTTTTTTTTTTTCCCTCCTACTTTATTGTTATGTTTTCTCTAGTATTTTAAGAGCTCTCCTTCTTCTCCCTTAGGAGACAGATGAACAGAAACGTCACAAAATTGCCAGTGAACTTCTGCAAACAGAAAAAGCCTATGTTAGCCGCCTTGGCCTCCTAGATCAAGTATGTTTCTCTTGAATTTTTCTTTCCTTTCTTTTAGTTCATGAAAATGGCTGCGTGCACATGTAAATTATGTAAAGGAGGTTGTATGTTTTTTATGTGTCACCAACCTTTACAGTCAGTCATTTGTGGTTGCTGCATAAATTTGCCTTTTTTTTTTTCTAATTTAAGAACACTGCATTTTTTTAAGAAGTGTTTTAGAGTGTTGTATTAATGCAAATCTTCTGAGTGCATGAGTAGAGTTCATCATAAGCAACAGTAGTGCAAAATCCATACCAGTAACCAATTCAATAAAAGGGATGGATAAACTACGCTTACTCATTTATTGGCTTCTCTTGAGTTGGGCAAGAAGTGTCATTTTATAGTACTGAAGTTGCCTGCCCACTAGCAAATCAGCCACATGAATAGCAATTCTCTTCAGTGCTAAGGAACATAAGAAGATGCCCATTCTAAACCCTACGTGCCCTGTTTTCCCATTGTACATTTAGACTAGATCCTGTTAAAGTGAACAAAAATTACTTCTCCTGCAAGAGAAGAGTCAGGTTCTTGTGCTCTGTAGAGTTAAACTGATAGTTCTTAAATTCGAACATCTGTAGTTCTTAGTATTTTCTTATTTACTTGTCACAGAATGCCTATATCCATTTTATCTGAGTACTTATAGCTATGCATTGCCTTACTCCACAGTATTTTTCTTGATATCACTGTTTAAACTTCTCAGGCCTAATGCATAAGTCTTGTACACGTTGCTGAGGAAAAAAATAAGAAGCCTCAACTGACAGAATAATTGTTTGGATTCCTTGGGGAATCAAAGTAACTGTCCTTAAAAGTAGTGAGAGGAAAAAAAATCTGATTTGATTGGGAAAAAAAACAGTACCTATTTATTTAATGTATGACTTTTACTGACAGGTAATGTACAAGTATTGTCCTTGATTCAATCATGCATAGATTACTCTATGACTTTACCAAATATTAGCTGGACAGAGTTGTGAAAAATGGTTGCAAGCACAGCTGCTCAACTACTGATAATGTGAGGGAAGTGGATTGTTTGTGGCCACTGTGCTTCTAACTGGGCTTAAAAGTATGTAGCCTTTATAGTCTTTGAAGAAATTTATCCAAATTTTCTAATTGTCCTCTCAGAGATGCAGCAAAGTGAGTGTGTTTTACAATATAAATGAAAATGAGACAGTGAAAGTGAGATATGGACTGTGTGAGACGTAGCTCCCTATGAGCACTGGTTTATGTGATGTGCATGTTAAGAGTGACGTGTCTCTACTCATTTACAAGTCAGGTAGAACAACTGATGGGGAAATAATGCTTTTCTTTTTTTTGTTCTAGAGACTACGGTAGTATTAAAGTCTTTTGCACTTTAAATGGTATAGTCTGTTTAGTCTGGTATAGTCTGTCAGTTACTTGACATTTTAAGGATAAGGGGCTATAGCTTACAGACTATTGGGCTAATGGTAATCAGAAATCATGCTCACTGAAGAGAAAGTGAGAATGGAAAACATGACTGGAGAGCTGGGAAAGCTGAGAAGATCTAACTGTTAAAACAGACAGGATATTGGACTCAGACTAGAATGGCACTCCTTCACTTTGGCTTTCCTTATGTCTGCTCAGTCTACAGCACTTTTATGGCTCAAAAGAAGCTAGGTGTAACAGGAGGAGTAGCTTTTAACTTCTGAGAAAGGAAACAATTTCTGTGATTATCTGCCTATGTTACTGAAACATTAGTTTTGTCATGATTGGAGTGGGAAGGAGAGGGGATGGCTCTTCATCCAGTGATAAAAGATAAAAGGCTAATAGGTTTGGGGTTCTTTTTCTGCGTTGCAGGTATTTTACTCCAGACTCCTTGAAGAAGCCAACAGAGGTTCTTTTCCAGCTGAAGTGATTAACAAAATCTTTTCTAATATTTCATCAATAAATGCCTTCCACAGTAAATTTTTACTTCCCGAACTTGAGAAAAGAATGCAAGAATGGTAAGAGATGATTCACTGACTAGTAATTTACTAAAACAGTGCCTGTAGAAGCTGTTACAGGGTTAAGGTAGGGAAGATACTTTCATAATTAAATGCTCCAATACAAGGAAACACTGTGGGTAGGAGAACATCTGCTCTTCTACTCTTCATCAGGATCTGTCTCAGCAAAAGACTTTCATCATTAGCTCAAACTAAGACATCTATCTTACCGAAGCCAGTGAGATTACTCATGACTAAAAGCCTTTCTGAATTAGGGAATCAAACTGAAATTGTGCATCCTGATGAATTCAGTGCACATAATAAAAAATTGAGACAGAGTGGATTTATTTGTTTCGTGCTACCCTTGCAGTACAGAAATAAGAATAGAATAGTTCAGTTGCAAGGGACCTTCAAAGATCTAGTCCAACTGCCTGACCACTTCGGGGCTGACTAGATGTTACAGTACCACTAAGGATGTTATCCAAATGTGTCTTGAACGTTGACAGCCAGGGGACATCAAGCACCTCACCAGGGAGCCTCTTCCAGTATTTTGATCACCCTCACAGTAAAACAGTTTCTCCTGATATCCAGTCTGAATCACGCCTGTTGCAGCTCAGTGTGGTTTCCTTACATTCTGTCATTGGTCTCCAACACAGTAATCTTTCTTATTATTGCTTTTAGTACTAAAATGGAATACATTATAATTTGTGTTTGGGGTTTTAATTTCGAACAGAAAACTAAGTCAAGAATATTTGCAGCAAGGAAGATATGTAAATATAGTCCTTAATGTACTCATTTACTGTTGTATCTTTATCCTTCCTTGGTATATGGGATTCTGGAGATACCAAAATATGGCCATGTGTTTCTGGTCTACCTTATGAAATTATTAAAAAAATTCTTTAAGGTAGGAGTAGTTACCATGCACAAACTATGGTAGCCCTGAACAGTCTGTAATACAGGAAAGTAAGTAAAACCTGAGTATCGTGAAATACAACAAAGTTTAAGCCTTTTTCTTATGTTCCTTGCAGAATAACAAAACAAACCCATTCTCTTCATCTTTTGATGAAGACAATCATCAATTGAAGAATTGAAAAAAAATCCAATAGGAAATACATTGCATAATCATGAGATGTAGAGTTTAACTTACAGTATGCTTAATAAGCAGCATACACTACATTTTGTCAGTATGTATTTGAAATTAATTTTGTGACGAATTCTCAAGATCTTGCTCTAGATTCAGCACAGAAGATGGATCCCGCTAGTTTTGCAAAATGCTAAATTGCATGCTGATTATGTGTATATAATTACATAGCCTTAAAGGTTTAATAGCATTTTTTTGCAGGTGAGCTACAACTATTGGTGAAAAATTACTAAGTTGCATTGTAAGCAGCTGCTTGGAAAAAACTTCTGTGCTGTGTGTGAGACACATTATTTGAAAGCCCTAAAAACATTTTGCTTTTGGGAGAAGATGGAAGAAAGGATGTGGCTTAAGAAAATTATTTCTGATCATTGTTGGAATTGCCTGGCACAACAGCCTCTGCCAGATAGAGAATTTGCTTTTCCCAGCAGTTCTGTAATTAATAGAAATATTGAAGTACTGATACTTGTATGCACTACTTCTATTTAAAATTCCCATAAAGATTCCGATGCCTTCCCTGAGCTTTGGTTGGTTTTGAACACTTAAAGTGAAAGTCACAGAATCACAGAATTGAAGCAGTTGGAAGGGACCTCAATGTCGAGTTCTTGAAATTGGGAAAGAGAGCAGAAGCAGATTCTTCTTTTAGAATAAAACACCATGTGTGCTTAAACTTATCCAGTGGAAATGGTTTGGTAATGGCATATTGAATGAGCTGAGCAACAGCTGGAGCTGAATATCTCTTACAGCATATGGCTTGAAATCAGTGCAGTATATTTCCCATGGAAAGAGCAAAACAGAGCATATCAATTTCAAGTCAAAATACAAATCTAAATGCTTTTTTGTTGTACCCAAGGAAGTCCAATAGCAATTACCTGTGAAGAATATAAAAAAACCAATGTGATATCCTCTGGATTTTTTGTGGTCTTCTTGGGGACAAATTATTCAACACAATGTTTTTCTGTAGCATTCTTTGGCAATTTCAGAACTGACCTGCTGATGTGATTTTTGCTTTAATTTGGAACTACAAATTTCAATTTCATTTGGATGTCTGTTAGCTTATATATTGTAATCACCTTGGCTGTGTGAATTTTTACAGACTTTTGCTTAACTTCCACAATCAGAAATTCTCAGCTATTTAATTTTAGAATTTTTTAGAATGCTTAGGTGTGGTCTGATACTACCAAAATACCACTGTGGTCTGATAATACCAAAATAGGAAGTGTTTCTGTACCTACAAACAGCATGAAATCCTATTTCTTGAGCTTGCCAGTGTTTGCTGTTCAAGTAACTTTCCCTTCTGAACAGCTTTTGAAGTAGTGGTGTGTCAGAGTATGATGCTGATGTAATTGCAAAAGATTGCTTCTCTTCAGACCACTACAGTATGTTGATTTTTGACTTTGTAGAATCATAGAACCATTGGAAAGTTGGAAAAGACTCTAATAACATCTAGTCCAACCCCAACCCATCACTACCATGCTTGCTAGCCATGTCCCTCAGTGCCACATCCACATGTTTCTTGAACGCCTTCAGGAATGGTGACTCCACCACTTCTCTGGGCAGCCTATTACAGTGCTTCACCACTCCTTCTGAGAACAAATCGTTCCTAATATCCAACCTGAACATCTCCTTGTACAAATTGAGGCCATTATCACCAGTTTCCTGGGAGAAGAGAGCCCACCTTGCTACAATGTCCTTTCAAGTAGTTGTAGAGTTTTTCAGAGTAATAGAAATACAGAATGACTTAGGTTGGAAGGGATCTTGAAGATCATCCTCCCTTAAAGTCGCAACCCAGCTACCATAGGCAGCTGCCACACACTAGATCAAGTTGCCCAAGGCCCAATCCAACCTACTGAATTCCAGAGATAATGGATTACTGAATGAGTGCTTGAAAACAAAATATGAAACACATTTTATATTGCAGTTCTGAGAGATACATGTGTGCTGTAATGCTTTCTGTGCACACAGAGTACAGTTTCTCTGTGCCTGTCCTTCAGTTAGTTTCTGTACTATTCTGATTTGTTTTAAGATGCTCTCAGTAATTGGGAAGAACGTGGGAAAGTTACCACAAAGTCTGGAATCCCAGGTATTCTCACTACTCTATCCATTTTGTCAGATAAATAATAAGTTTTTTTAAAGTTGTAAATGCATGTATTTATACTGAGTACTGAAGGGAAGCTCTATAGTATGAATTTAGTCCTCGAACAAAACCACAGGTTTTTACTGAGGGTAAAGTATGTCCACAGAAGTAAAAGATGATATAATACTTCTGAGGAACTGCAGGTAAAAGAATTTAGGTTGTGTTTTGCAAAAAAAGACTTTCAAGCTTTTCGCTGTAAATAGCTTTCTTCCTTCAGTGTTTCATTTAGTCTGTAATGCTCATACATCACCAAAGAGAATGCAGAAGCTCTTTCCATGTTAATTCAGTTCCTCTTTGACAGTTGTGTTGAAACTCTACACAAGGTGATTCCAAGCAGAAGGATTCTCTGTTAAGTGCTTGAAACTTTTTGATAACCATGTGTGACGTTCTTCTTTTCTGTCTGCTCTGAGATTCCACTCTCTTACTTTGCAGGTCTACCACCCCCAGAATTGGAGATATTCTGCAGAAATTAGCTCCTTTTCTCAAGATGTACGGAGAGTACGTGAAGAATTTTGATAATGCAATGGAATTGGTGAAAACATGGACTGAACGGTCACCTCAATTCAAATTCATCATTCAAGATATTCAGGTAATGTGGAGAATAATGTAGAGCTGCAAGTAGTACAAGCATGTATAAAGGTGTTTGTGATGTGATTTTAGGAGAAAAAAGAATAAAACAGAACATTACAGAATCCTCTAGAAGTAAGGTTTTCTTTTCTCCACTTCATGCTGCAGTTTTTCTTCTCTTTCTCTCTTCACATGTGCATAAATACCCACATAAATCCAAACTTTCCACTGCATCACAGAGGGCCAATGTGTAAAGCTTGAAAAATGGGAAGACTAAATATATTTTTGTCATTGATACTGAGAGTAAATAGTTTTAGGATAAAATCGTGCATCAGTGCAGCTATAGATCTTCGTGCTGAATCTGCAGGTGTTCTGTTGGCTCACACCAGTGCTGTTTATGCAGAACACTTAGCTTTGGAAGTAGGTCTGAAATACAATATGCTGAGCTGTAAAAGGTGAAAGGAGTCTTGACAGCAGCACACTGTTCTTCCAGAGTGTGTTTCATATGCTGTAGTGCTCCCTGTAGGTTTCTCCATGAAAGGCAGGTATGTATCTTTGTCCTGCACACCCAACATCTTGAAATACTGCAAGATATTTCTGCTTAAATTTCATTGCAATAAAGAGCATCTTGATTCTAAACCAAGGAAGGCAATTATGTGTATTTTAATGTAATCTTTTAATTACATCTAAGCTTATGGAAAAGAATATGCATCTTAAAACGATACAACATCCCCAAGTATGAATAAAACTCTAAGAAAGTTAGAGTTTCTCACCTCAAAGAGATAAAATAGACCTTTATTGCTCATTTAAGAGACTTTTTCTAACACATGATCCTGACCTGTTCATATGAACTCAGTGCTCCTTGTCTGATTCTCAGAGTTATTACAAAAAGAATGGTAAAGTATACTGGTGCTGGGGAGTTTTTTTGGTAGGGCTTCCTTTTATACATTCTGCTGAATATTTAGAATATTATTTTTACAATTACATTTAGGAAAGTACTTCTAAATATTTGTCTTGTTAAAGTAAGTTTTGTAATTTTTTTTCAGAAGGTCTGTCATGCATGTTTCTAAAATACATTATTTGTTTTATCTATTATAATTTTTATTCTACTGAATCCTTGTAAAGTAGTATTTTTGCTTACCACACTGAAATATGTTTGCAATTTTTTAGAAGGAAAAAGTGTGTGGAAGTTTGACATTACAACATCACATGCTAGAGCCTGTACAACGCATTCCACGCTATGAGATGCTTCTAAAGGACTACCTAAGGAAATTGCCTCAGGACTCCCTAGACTGGAAAGATGCTGAAAGTAAATATCTACTAGTCGATAAAATAGCGGTAATAAGCTTTTAGTAAGGGGATGCTGTAAATTAAAACTATTTGTAGGGAAAAAAGTGAAAAGAAAAAGACTGCAGACAGAGTGGTAGCATTTATTGAGTGGAATAGTAGGATTCTTTGGAAAAATATTTGAAAAGTAGATGAAATTAGTATAGGAACTGTAAAGCCTTTAGTGATTCTAGTAGAGTATGTTAGTTTTGCTTTAATTTTGGAATTGCGCTCAAGTTTTTTTTTTTGTTTGCTTTTACTCATCAGATTATTTTTTTAATGCACATGTATTTTATTTTATTTGGAAAAAAAAAGAGGAAGATTTAGACTGTTTTGGTTTGAAACTCTTACAGGGAAAAAGAAAAATCAATTTTCAATGTTTTTCCTCTTTGTATTTCATTATTAGTAATCAATATTAGTAATATGAGGTGTCTGAACTAAAAAAAAAAAATATTGTGTGACATTCTGGAGTTCTTTGTGAAAAGAGGTGAGAGAATCGTGACTGTTCCTATCACAAAAGTGTGATTCTAAGTATTGAAGCTCACCTTAAGGTAAACTACAATAATTCTCTTCTGATTTTTCCTGATTATTATTTCCATTTGGTTGCTAAATTTCTTGTGTTGTCCACTTTACCTTTGTTAGTTTTCATTGATAATGTAATGAATTTATCATAGTGTGTAATTTGTGTAAAAATTACAAACATAGTTTTGTAGAAATTTTTCTGTGCAATAGAAATACACATGAAAATGCAGCTTTTTGTTTTGCTTTTCTTTCTTTCTTTTTTTTTTTTCCTTTTATCTAGAGTCCCTGGAAATTATATCCACTGCAGCAAGCCACTCAAATAGTGCAATAAGAAAAATGGTAAATTATTCTTGTTTTACTGTTCATTTTTAAAAACATTGTGTTTGAGTATTTAGTGAAGCTAAGAGTGTGAATTGAACATTTTCCCTAAAAGGGAAAACCATTACTGCCTGTGTCCAAGTGATTGCTTCTACTCGCTGTGTTTATATGTTCCTGGAGATGATAAACAGAATTTGACAGTGTACCTAACCTGCAAGTTCCAGGTTCAAATATCTTGGACTCTTAACCTTGTTGCATCCGTTTCTGTTGGTGAAAAAATAATGTTTGTAAAAAATAGTTACCGTTTCCCTACTGTTATCAGACTGACATGATAGGTATACATTATGTATTCTGAATACTTAATTAGTATTTTGAAATTTTGGACAATAAATTATGCATGCTCTATATATACCAATATTTTTAAAGACTATCATAATGTTTCTTAAAGCTGTATCAACTTGATTAATCAGTCTGCATGGTTGACTATGTATACCAGCTATATATCTATATAAATATATAAATATATATATATAAATATATATATATATATATAAATATTTGTTACAGAACTAACATTTCCAGACTGACACAAGCTCCTGGCATTTCCTTTAAAATGCATTAAGATCAGTGCTGTTAATTCATCAGCTTTGTAATTGTGTTTTCTGTGAACAGGAGAATCTAAAGAAATTGTTAGAGATATATGAGATGCTGGGAGAAGAGGAAGACATTGTGAACCCTTCAAATGAACTGATAAAAGAAGGCCAGATCCTTAAACTTGCTGCTCGCAATACATCTGCTCAAGAACGGCACCTTTTCCTTGTGAGTATGATGCAAGGGTGGCTGTATGTCTTTCTAGACTTGAAAGATCTGCGAAAGAGAGAGGCAAATTCTCTTCTAGTTGATGTCAATGAGTAACCTTTCCTCTAATGATATTTGAGCTTCAGCAAACCCTATGCTGCTTATAGAAGGGCATGAGAATACTGTTCAGAACTGAACCAGCACCTAACAACTCATTGTTAAAAAATATCTGCTGATGTTAAATGCAGGTCCAACCCACTCGTTTTATGTTTTAATATTAAACAGTAAAAAATAAAAAACCGTTACTTACATACAATAACTGTATTATATAGTTTATGTGCAGCCCATGACAATTCATCTTCACTCAGTGCAGTCCAGGCAAACCAAAAGGTTGGACACTTGTGTTCTAGAGCATGGGAACTTTGTAGTTCTCATAAAACAGAAATGTAGATGCTCGGGATTTCAGTCCTGATAGATTGTGTGTCTTGGTGCTCGTGTAAGCCTCACGGTCCTGTGGAAACGTTGTTATGGCAATTCATCCTCTTGACAGGAGCCCGTTTCTTCTCTTAGGAATAACAGACTACAGCATGTGCCCTTAAAGCTCCCTTGGAAAAGGTGCGATGCAGTTCATTGCTTAACACGAAAGGTGACAAGTTCAAAAGGGATTTGAGTATCTCTTTTTAAAAAATACAGAGAAAATGTGAGGAAAGATATGAGAGAACTAAATGCACTAGAGCTTATTTAAGAAATATATTCCTTGTCTGGAAGTTTGGACATTTACATAAGAATGTAAATGTTCTAGTCTTTAATAAAGGAATATATATTTGTCCTGCTCATGTATTTTTTTTTTCCACGTGATATTGAGGTTTTCTGAAAACTGAAACTGTAAAATGTTTCTGAAAACTGTAAGACCAGAGTATTCATTTCTTTTGGAGGAATGACCCATATCCTTGTCTAATAGTAGTAGTTGCAGATTCTACAATACTACGTTATTTGGTAGAGGGTGAAAATGAATTTATACAGAAGAGCAGAGTTCTTATTGTGCAATTTATAATAGTTTCTGCAGAACTGAGGCATGTGAATATTACAATGGCATAAAATATCCAGTTGGAGCATAGAATCATAGGAAGGGACCTTTAAGATCGTGTAGTTCCGGCCCCTCTGTTATAGACAGGGACATCTCCCTGTAGCCCAGGTTCCTCAAAGCCCCATCCAGACTGGCCTTGAATGCTTCCAGGCAGGGAGCATCCACAGTGTATCTGGGCAGCCTGTTCCAGTGTCTCACCACCCTCACTGTAAAGAACTTCTTCTTAGTATTTAGTCTAAAACGACCCTCTTCCAGTTCACATCCAATTGCCCTTGTCCTGTTGCTAAGCATAGTAGATAACAAACATTATGACGACTGCTGTATATACAGAGCAATTATTCTGATAGCTGTTGGGCCTGGCCTTAAATTTTATTTCTAAATCCCATAAAAATATTAGAAAAAAGATGTCTTGCATTACAGTTTTGGTCTCTGCATGTATCAGCTAAGCAGAAAAGAACCCGCTTTCCATCTATTTAGTTTAGCTTGTGATATTGTCCAGTTCTCAGTAGGAACTGGCTGTTTTCTGTGTTTTTGTTAATGTAAAGCTATGTACCTATTTTTCTCCCCAGTTTAACAATATGTTGCTCTACTGCGTCCCCAAATTCAGCTTGGTAGGATCAAAGTTCTCAGTTCGAACCAGAGTTGGCATAGATGGTATGAAGATTATAGAAACTCATAATGAAGAATACCCACACACTTTTCAAGTGTCTGGAAAAGAGCGAACGCTGGAGTTGCAGGCCAGGTAAGAGAAGTCTTTTGGCTTTTTATGGAGGATTAACTTTATACATACATAAATCAATCTGATAGATTTGAAAGAAGATAGAATGTGTTTCATCGTAATAGCAGTGTTTTAAAAATAACATAGGCAGCAAAATGCATAAATTGTCATTCTGAAATTCTCTTGGAGTGGAAGATGCAGCTACAGGATGTATAGTGTGTTGCCTTTCCTTGCTGAAATACCCAAGACAGTTGTGAGTGAGCTGCCTGGAAAATTGAGATCAGTGTATGCAAAGGTGAACTGTCTGGCTTCATCAGGAGTTTTGAGACACTGAGTATTAATCTGGGCAGCGCTGCTGCCTCTGGTACCTGAACCACTTTGGTACAAATGGATCAGTTCAACTCAGGGTTCATCCATCCAACAAAACAATCTGGTGGGGGTATGTCTCCAGAATGTAGCTCTGTATAGTGGTAGATGGATGGGTACCTACTTTCCTCCATTTTCAGATCTGTTTATTTTCCTCTGATTCCAGAGATCAATCTGAAAGACAAGTTCTTTTATTTCTTGGCTCCTTTCCTTCCAATTGCACTCTTCTAAATGGCACTCTTCCTCGCTTTATTATTAGTCCTCTCATCTCTTTCTCGCTGGGTTACCTTTCTGTTGCTTCTTTTTGCATTGCTAAGACTAAATTTTCCCTGTCTATGCTACCTCAAATAAAGTAGGGCAAGTTTAACATCCACCTAACTGTTGGAGCTTCTTTAAGGTCTTATTCATAGTAATCAGGATGTAATTGCAACTTGATAAGGATATCTATGGTGATACAGTTCTGTGTCTACACCATACATTTGGGGACAGACTATAACTTGCTATCAAATTAAAAACTGCAGGTTATTTTTCTTCATGGAAAAATACTTAAGAGTAACAGAAGTGAATACACAAGTGTAACAGCACACAACAATTGGCCTACTGTATAATTTAATTTGAAATTCAATACAATAATAAATACTCGTTTTCAAAAATGGCAGGAAAAAGCTTTCCATTCAAATCTAGAAGACTTCTGGAATAAAATTGTTTTTCCTCTCAGTCACTTCCATTATCAATTGATGCATGGTTTTTTGCTAAGTATTCGCCAAGCAGTTATGCCACATATCTACTTCAGTGGTATAAAATGGCATCTTGTACCAGTTGTGAAGTACTTTTTATTTGGAAGAAGAAGGCTACAACAAAGTAAGATTATCTTGGTATGTTTCCCAAATTATCAGTAATTTAGGTTATTGCATTAGTTTGAGAAGTACCCATCTTTATGTTTTGTTTTATGAACATTTTTAGAATGCATTAAATCTGTACAAAATTATGGAGAAAAAAAAAGTACTGACTGAAATCTTATTAAAGTAGATTATTCAAGTCTTGGTTAATATATGATTATTTTGTGTACTCTATGCCTTAATATCCCCAATTCAGGAGTTTCTATTAACTTTGTTATGATTAGTTTACCCTTGGAATTTTCTTTACTAGTATGCTTTTATTTATTTTTCAGAATACTATTTGAGGGTACTTTCCATCAGTAGCTTTAAATAGCTGGTAAATTATTTCTTTGAGAGGTTGCTAATCTGGTTTGATGTTCAATAGCTCGGCTTTTGTTTTTTTTAGCATAAGCAGGGAAGGAGAACTATTTTGTCTAAGACAGTTTTTCTACCTGATGTATGGATGGTAGGTGGAAATGGGAAATACTTGTTAAGCATTCTACTACCTAACAAATTGCAGTAATATTGGAAAACAATGTGTGAATGAAGAATCATTTTTATTGAGGTGTTGTTAAAGTTGTCTTTCGCGTCTTTCGTAGCAATCCATTACAAACTGAAATTTTGCACATCAGACATGATATGTCTACAGCAGTATTTTTTCCACATTGTTGCCCAGGTTGACCATCACTTTCAAAGAGAGAGATATATTTTGGTGCTAATTCTTATCTTTATGACTTAAAGCTTGCAGATAAACTGTATTGGTTACTATCACTGTCCAGCAGTTTCTAATGGCGCTACTATTTTAAAATAAGTAACTTTTCTAAAGATTTGAATGTCAAAGTCCTATTGATGTATTTTAAAGAGAAATCTATCATGCAGGGTTGGAGTTTAATGTATTTCCTCTATCTAATCTGTTTCATCTATATATTCTATCTGTACTTACTATTAAGTCATCTGTAGTCCATCTAAACGTTAAAAAGTCAGTGATCTGGTTCATAACCTTGAAGAGTTTTCCATTTATTTCAATTGGATATTTTTATTGCCACTGTAGGAAAATTTAAACAAAGCAACAAAAGCAGTAAGAAAATTATTTTCTAAAAGGATAAAATCTGGTAGATAGGTAGATATACAGGAGAAACGTGTGTTGATGTGGACTCAGTAGTGCACGAAATGAGAGAATAAAATACACCTACACCTATAGTTTACATTTTCCTCCCTTCCTTTCTGTCCTGCTCTTTAAAAAACAAAAGAAGTAATCAACAATGGGAATACTACTATTTGTGAGTTGTTCTGTTTGTCTGCTTTAGTTAATTAGCAGTGTTGTCTGATTTTGAATTAATGAAAATTAATTCAGATTCTTGGCTTTTGCAGGAAGTTGCTGATAGTGAAATAATGTTTTCTGAACTAGTTTTGGACTAACGTGTCAAATATTTCTTTTAGTTCTGAACAAGACAAGGAAGAATGGATAAAGGTAAATCCTTCTACATTTGTTTGTTTGTTTGTTTTTGTTTTTTTTTAGATGCATTTTCACTGAAGCAATCAAAAAGCAATATTCGTATTTTCTGGCTGTAGTTTCTTTCTGCTAATCAATAAATGGTCAGAATGCAGACTGTCCATTAGAAGTGTAGTATACTTCAGAAGTTTTTCCATTGTTTCCCTAGGCGCTTCAGAATACCATAGAAGCTTTTCAGCAGAGAAATGAAACTTTCAGAAATGCTATTGCTAAGGAATATGAAGACATGCCCGTGGAGGTTTCTGTAAGTTGCTTTTATTCCTTTGTAACCCTGTTGTTACCCATTTTGTTCTTCAATAGCTGGAAAAAAAATAATAAATCAGAAGCAGCTTTATTTTCCAACTAATTATCCTTAGAGCAAAAGAAATACAAAGTAGTCATTTTGCTTGTAATTAATGCCAAATCTTATAAACGAGTCTTTTTTTTATTTTTCCCCTTGAAATGCATAACAGAGTATCCTTTCATTCGTGCATAATTGTTTTTGACTGTGTTCTTTGTTATTTCTTGTATAGATTTCAAAATGCATCTAGAACGGTGTTTTGCCATTTCCGTTCCAGAGGAAGAGAATAATAATTTTCTGTATTAAAATTTCTGTACAACTGTTTGTTTGTGTTTTTTTTTTTTCCTTCCATCCTTCCCCTGCCCTCTTCAGAACGCTGAGCTTGGGAAAAGGGCGCCAAGGTGGATCCGAGACAATGAAGTAACCATGTGCATGAAATGCAAGGAGCCCTTCAATGCACTGACAAGAAGGCGGCACCACTGCCGAGCGTGTGGACACGTAAGTACGAAACTGCTGTAGGTGAGCTGGCTGAGACATGGCTCTGAGCGCTCAGCTGACTTCTGGTGGCTGTCTGTTATACTGCAGTTTGTTACTGCGCTTGTGACTGAGATGAGAATCTGTGGATAGCACCACAAAGAATCTTCTGTCCAAGTTAGTTGGCACAGCAAATTTGAAAGTAATTTGCAGCAGAGGAAGATGTGCATTTGTGGAAAACATCCTGAGTGCCTCTACAAACTGTGCTGTGTTACTTCTGAGTGGCCTCCGCTGATCTCAACAGGTTGAAGATTGTTTAAATAGCATAAACCTGCATTACCTCTGACAGTGCTGGCTGCCTCCTGTTCCCATTTTGTACCACCTCTCTCTTATTTGCAAGCAGATCATGAAGCGGAGCTGTTAAAACATTGTCTTTGGGTAGTCTTAGAACTTTTACCAGCTGATTTCAGTGTTCAGTTCTGTGAACATCTGAAGCATAAGAGAAGGATAAGGTGGGAAGAAGAGAGTATTTTCCATACATGAGGCTACAATAGCACATCACATTAAAGTAATTAAACAACAGTAGTATGACATAAGAGTTTTCAGAAGTTAATAAAAGAGCAAACATCCTGTGCTTGTTTTTTCTTTTTTTTCTTGCTAGTCAGCATCTGTTCCTTTCTCCAGTAGATGGTAGTGCAAGCCCAGGTTTCATTTTTTTTTATATAGGTTGTCTCATATGGCTTCTTTCTAATGTTCATATGTCATGTGAAGGCTTATTGCATTCACAGCTCTGCTTTTGTTCTTTGCTGAACACTAAAGACTTATTCAGAAGCTCGAAATCATTGATTACACAGTCATCATCTGTTTTATTGCTATCCAAATTGTTCTATTTTAACACTCCTCCATAATCTGAAGATCACAGCTTTACCCTTATTTCTCTTCTGGAGTTTGGACTCCTACTTGAGTTCTATCGCATCTCCTTCCATTTTAATTTTAGAATACATTTCTATTGGGAATTATTTTGGGTCAGTGAGAGTGTCTTTCCGGAAGTGAATAACAGGAAACAAAACCGAGTGTTCTCTATGGATACTGGCTGAAGGTAGTTAGCTAGGTTACTACTACAGATCCTTGGCTCTTCATAAAAGAGCCAGTCTTTTGTTCCAGTCTTTGGGTTGCTCAAGTCACTGATCTACCTTACTTTACTGAAATGGCTCTTCTCACTGTTTTATGCAGGGCATCTTTTTCAGCTGAAAGAACGTTCCTGTAGGAAAATATTTCTAATGAAAGAACTTCCTTCAGATCTTTTTGCATTTCAATTTTCTAAAATATTTCTTAGAAAGAAATATCAGCAGTGTAACATGTACTTACTTATGAATTTACTTATTATTTATTGTTATTAGTATTACTTATTACTCATGCACAGATTCTGCAACTGTAAGTTCAGTGTTTATTAACAGGTTAAAAATTTAGACAGTTCTGATGAATTTTAATTTTTTTCTCTCTTAAAGTACATCCCAGTTATGCATTTCTGGGGTTATGTGGAAAACAAAATGGTGACTGCACCTTTTCAGGTTGATATGTAAAGAAAATGGGAGACTCTCTTCCTGCAGCATAGCTTGTCCTATCTTCTAATTCTATTCCTATCTTTAGTTTACAGTTATAATTGAAAGACTAATAGGATTTTGTACAGAGTAGTAATGTAAATAGTGAAGAACACTTCTAGTTAAGAATCAGTGGCACAAATTTGGAAAAATACTATTTTCAATTAAACTATGACATAATAGCCATTATCTTTTTCTTCATAATTGAACAATACGTTGCTATTAGATATAATAATATGAACTTCTAATTAAATTGTTTTCATGAAATTTTATAAATACTTACAATTTATATGTCTGCTTATCTTTTTTGTTTTGTTTGTTTCTAAGGTGGTTTGCTGGAAATGTTCTGATTATAAGGCACATCTTGAGTACGATGGCAATAAATTGAATAAAGTTTGTAAGGACTGCTATCATGTTATAATTGGTTGTACTGACAGTGAGGAAAAGAAGAAGAAAGGCATCCTGGAGGTATGTAATTTAAAAAATATCACATGTGGTATTATTCTTGTGGGGCTTTTTTGTGTTTGAGGGACATAAAAGACACATGGAACAAATTCATCTCATCTGACGGATTATTTGTTTCACCATTCATCTGTCACAATTCTGCTACAGGACTCCACTAGTGCACTAAATTGTCAAGGGAGTGCTGTTTCTTGGCACGGTGGCTTTTTAAGGTAGCTGAAGAAACAGCTGTGCATGCTGTTTCTCATGACAACGAAGTGATTGACTACCTTGTGGCAGCACTCAGACTGCATCACTACTGGGTGGGAAAGGAATAGAGCTAAGGAAGTATTAGCATGTAGTCATTTTGTGCTCTTCCTATTCCTCTTGGCATCAACATTTAACCTGAGAAGCGTGTCATCCTGCCCTCAGAGTTTGAGCAATTCACCTAATGTTCTGTCTAGAATTAGTGCTTGCTTTCTTATGTTACCTTTAGAATGCATTTGCATTAGATCTTGTCATAGCATTTTGTTGCTGAAATAAAATGGTTGTCCTATTGGATAGTCAGTAGCATTTCAATGCCTCACATGAAGTTACCTTAGAAATAAAACCTTGTTGCGGATACTAAAATACAGAGAAAGGCTGCAGTAGGAGGAAAAATATTTAGCCATCTAAAAGTGTGCAATCCAAAATTACTGGTGAAAGAAGGAACAGATTTATGTGCATTAGAGAGTACATTTTGTGACCCTGTGTATGTAACACTTATATAATCTCCCTAGTCAGGTCATTCATTCATTATCTTACTTGCTCAAGCTCTTTTGCTGATATTATCCAAGCTGTGTTATGACTAGTAGTGTATTTCAGCCTTTCTGTTCTGTGGGTTTTAGCCTTTATTAATGAAAGCTTACCTTCCTCTTTATGCTTTATGCTATCCTAGATCGAATCTGCTGAAGTCTCTGGAAATAGTGTCATATGTAGCTTTCTTCAGTACATGGAAAAATCAAAGCCCTGGCAGAAAGCATGGTGTGTTATACCTAAACAGGAAGCTGTTGTCCTGTACATGTATGGTGCTCCACAGGTAAGCCAAGAGAGGAAATAGAAAAGCTTTTAGTAATTATTAACATTGACATCTGAGGAAGAGAAATCAGATACCTTGGTAATGGAGGAAAGATGCAAGTGTTTTTATCAGCTGGTGTAGTAAATGAAACGCAGCAGGCAGGCAAATTAATTGGCTGTTTCTAATCAGGTACTTCTCCTTCTTAGGATGTTAAAGCTCTGGCTACCATTCCACTTCTGGGCTATACAGTGGATGACACCCCAAGAAGTGCTGACCTCCCACACAGCTTCAAACTGACCCAGTCGAAGTCTGTGCACAGCTTTGCTGCAGACAATGAGGAACTAAAACAGAAATGGTTAAAAGTTATCCATTTAGCTGTCAAAGGTGAGACATCAGAATGTCAAAATGAACTGCAAGTGAATTTAGAAGAACAACCCGAACCTTCTAAAACGTCTGAATGCTGAAGCTCAAGAACACGTGGTGTTTTTAAAAAATTCAATTGAATTTGTGGTTAACCTTTGAGGAAGGCTAAGCTCTTAACCTTTCTTTGCTCAATCAAACAAAAAGAAAAAAACAAAAACAGAACTTCTTACTACCATATATGTCTTAGCACTTTATGTTTGGGAAAAATTCTGGTCTTTCTTAGGGATTTCTTTCGTATATTTATGTTCTGTCAAGAAGAGTGATGTACAGGTCCACTTCAGAGACTTTTAAAAAATGTGAATACTATTAAGAATACCTACTAACTTTACCATTCTACTTGTTGATTGTGATGCAGATTTTCTTTTTGGAAGTTGCTATTTGATTCATGTTTGCTACTATCATCATGAGTGCAAATACTGAAGCTTCCTGCTTACGTATTAGGAGTTGCAACAGGATAAAAGATATACCTCCACATTGCCAAAATAGATCTGTAGTTAAATATACAGGGATAGTTTGGTTTAATGTAAGTAGTTTGTAGGCTGAATTCCACAGATCTGTACATATGTTGTATTCATTTGTTTCTTTTTAATTAAAGTAATGTAAATTGCTTTTACAGGTATACTGGCTTTTAAAGTTTCAGTTTATCAAGAAAACAATATAATGATTTTCAGTCTAGAAAGGAATACATAAAAGATGAGAAGTATATAATATATGTACAGTGTTAAAATGTACAATATTCAATTTGTGCTCTTATTTCCTGAGACTGGGTTCCTGTTAATGAATAATTTATTTAAAAAGCATGTTTTCTATTTGAAATTAAACTGTCCTAAATTAGCAAATACTGTTCAGTGATTTGTTTTAATAGCTGACACTTAATGATCTTGATATTTTTATGCATTAAAAAAAATAGCAGTAACATAAGTGGCATGCAATGGACAAATAAGTTCCAGTTGTGTTTAAAGGAGTAGTCATTTTTCTTCAGTGTCCTACCACTGTTATCTTATAAGAGTGCAGCAGTTCATTACTAAAATGCAGTATGCAGATTGAGATAATCAACAGATTCTGTTAATCTTCTGGGAACAGGTATTTTTGTTATTACAAAACAAATAACATTTTGAACCTAAGCATTGTGATTTTTTGCAGAAAACTAGATACTATACTACTTATTTATGACAGCAGTCTCCAACGATCACTGTTGTAATATGGAGACTGCTTTGTATGCATTTAGTATGAAATATGAGCCTGCAAATCTTGAGGAAGGGAATTACGTAAGTTCTACACTCAGCTTATCATGAGAGCATCCAGAAGTGTTACTTCTCAGTATAACTGCTGTCCATATTTTAAAACATAAGAAGATGAAGAGCTCAGGTTTAAGTCCAGTTTTGTTGGTAACATGAGGGCAGATTTCAGTTACCACTTTTTATAATGAAATTTCCAAATGAAGTGTTGACTAAACTCCTACTTCACTCTTTTCTTCAACACTAGAAAAAAATGCTTATTTTACTTAGCACTTAACAAAGGATTGTTACAGTAAACGCTGTTTTTAGCATTGTACATACCTGAGTACACAGCACTTGCCATTTTTCAGTAAGAAAGTCACAACTTCATGTTAGTAGGCTGGATTTTGCTCTCACCTGCACAAATCCAAAATTTACAATGGCTTTTAGACTTCAAAGCTTTACACTAGCGTTGGTAATAGCCAAGGCATGGCATTGCAGGGCGCTAATTCTGCTGCTTACTGTGCATGTCAGTTCTGAATTCTTCCTTGGGTGCTCCACCTGTTCAGATTACTATGTTTGTAAGCCTAGTACTGCTTTTATCTGAAATGCAAGCTCTTCTGTAATTCTTTGCGAGGTGATAAGTTACTTCTACTTCCAGCTGTATTCACCTGTAGTTATGGGCAGCTTAAGGTGTTTAGGGTTTGCGTTGTTAAGTTCCATCAAATCTTCACTCGGGTCTGTGTAGCAACGTGCTGTGTCATGTGTGTGCCTTGGCAAGAGAGAGGGTAACATTCAGACAGACAGAGAGAGCTCTCTTAGAAAGGGGGGTATCTCCTGGAAGAGTCTCCAGTGCACATGTGGGATCTGCGGGGTCACCTTTTTATACAACCTCATGTATAAAAACATCACTTCCTACATTCAAGTTGTGGAGGGGTGAATCTACCTGAAAAGAGACCCTTGCCTTAAAAGATAAGACGGACTGAATGGTACTCAAAGTGGTGAAACAGTTGCAATCATTTACTACATTCTGTATTCTGAGATCTTGCAAATTTAATTCTGAGCCAAATAGGAAGACCCATTTCCAGCGAAATAATTAGGAGAACATTAGAAGCAGCAATTTCTGGGCTGCTTTATTTTTATGGTGGTATTGACTATCTGAAGCTGCTTCAGTGGTTTCAACATATCCTAGATTAAGCTCTGCATGTGGACATAATGTGGAATTAAATTAGCATTGTTATTATATTATTAGCAGTAGTTACTTATTTGGATTTTAGCTTCATGTTCTATTTCAACAATTAAAGTTTATACAGTGGAATATTTTATTTACCCTAGCAAAAACTCATTCATGTTCTCTTAATTGCTTGGTCAGAATTACTACATTCTGACTGAGAAGATAACGGCACACAAATGGGTGGTTCTCTGTGTATGAGAAGTTGCTTCTAGATTTAACCACCTTAGCAGTTTTATGCCATTCTCCACAGGTCAGCTCCCTCCCTATGGTATCCAAAGCTTGTTCTTATAACTGCAAAGGGAAACATATTAAGTAGTAAGCGCTGTGGCTTAAGTGTCATGACCAAAGCAGTCAAAGCCATCGTTCTGATACGGTGTAGGCTGTTCCCATTTCAGCTGGTTGTTATTTTTTTAAGTATTTATTAGCATGAAACTATGTGTGTGAGGAAAACAAAACATAACTGAGCATTCATTCATAATACATGAATGTATGTGAGTCGCTCTGCTGCATTATTTAAACTGAGTTTCAATTCTCGTGTTCAGGAAATGCTCACTTCTACCTAAGACTGATCAGCCTACAGTGCAATTTGAAACAGATGAAGAAACTCTGTATGATTTGTCTGTGTTCAAACACAAATTTTTACCATGATTTTTGTTCGGAGCATATTATATTTTCAAAATGATACGATATTTTTTGCCCTGTTATGGAAAGATAATATATTATGATGTCTACATCATTCTTCCGGGTCCTATAAAAGTTGTTTTTGGTATCAGGCAGTTGTGCTTAGTTGAAGAGCTGCTGTAAAACTGCTAGCATCTAGTACTTTCAGATCACTTTACATTGAATAGTTCTGTTTATTCCAAAAGGTGTTCAATTTTTATGTATAAAACAGATATTGAGAATAAAAAACATTATCTTCTATTTGGAGCAGAATATTAAACTGTTTAAATGCATGTAATATAGTGGCACCTTTTTTTATGCAAAACCATCTTGAAGTGCTTTATTAGTCTTCTCTAAATCCCTTTTATATAAAAGAGGCTTATTATTCTTCACATTTAAAATATGGATGAAACCAAGGCATGGATTAAATGTAGAATAAATACACTATCACTTGCATAAGTTTTAGTTGAGGTTAAGAATAGATGTATATTCTGAAGAGCTCTGAGTGGAGTCGAGAGAAAAAAAAGATAAATATATATACATTTTAAAATGTCTGGAAAGGATGTGGAAGCATCTGACAGGTTCTTGGGGACTCAGGGGATTCACTGTGTTTTTCGTTTTTTGTTTCTTCTTTTAAGTACTTCTCACCATACAACTAGTATAAAAACTGGGCTGCTTTTCATATCGTGATTAAATAAAATGAACAAATGGCTGTGGTTCCTTATACTGAAGAAAGGGGATTTCAAGAAAACAATCAGGCATTTCATGTAGAAATAATTTCTGAGTAATTAAAAACGAGCTTTATCTGTAGATATATTTTGAAATCCTTAACAGCTGTAAACTACCTTATACCTGCTAGACTTAAATACACATGGAATCTACCTTACATTTTATAAAGACATGGGTGGAAAATCAGTATTACTCTGCTTTAAGATCTGCTGACTTTCTGTGTCTCATCTGGAATCACAGTGCTCAGCTGAACTTCTGAGGGGTTTCACTTGGAGACAGTTGGTGTAGGAGTGAGTGGAGACAGATGATAATCTGAAAGTGATTGGAGTAAAGAAAGAATTTTGTGGCAGACCTAACTATCCTTAAGATAAATCCATCAATAAAAGGGGGGTCAGTCTTAAACTGTGGTGTACTCTTATTTGGAATTTGAACCAAGATATATGGAGTGGTGTTTTTTCTTCATTCTGTGGCCCTATTGGTATGAGGAATGCACCCACAGCTGACTTATAGGGCTGTAGTGAAGCATGTGTATTGGATGAGTTTTAATCTGCTAGTCAGATTGCTTCTTAAATTCCTTTTCCGCCAACAGATCATAATTGTAACTTCTTGTCTATGGATGTATACATGCATACACATATGTATCTGTGTGTATGTATATATATGTGTATGTGTCTGTAATGACTGAGACTATTGTTCATAGGACCTGCTTCAAGGAGTATTTTACAATCAGAAACACACTGTGCTGCATTTGAAGTATAATTGACTGTATTGATTGTGTTGAGCATGCTTTTCGGGAGAAAGAATTAACAAAATTAGACCTCCTTCTATGGCACGATTACTATTTCCAACTACATAAAACCAAAACAGACTTAAATCCAGTAATGCATTCAGGCTGCTTCCTGTAAAACTTCGTGGTTATAATTAGGCCCAGATTCATCCATGGCATTTTGCTTTCATCCCTTCATCCTAACACAAGAGAATGTAGAACTTATTTTCTCTGTACTAAAATTTCAGCAGGTTTCCATCAACAAAACATATTTTCAGCCCCTGTATAACACCAACCTACTTTGCTTTGTAGTTCATCCTTTGTAGATTCATTAACTATGGTAAAAGCATTCAGAAAAAGTGGGGGAATTGTGTCAAAGCATTTTTGCAATAATGTGCCCTAAGAATTCTAAGAAAGAAGGCAGATTTGTTGGATGCAGGCAATTGTTTGCAATAGAAATACTGTTGTTGTGTTTTGTTTTTTTTTTCAATTAGCACATTCCCTATTCTGCAGCCTTCAAGGCAGATTAATACATTAATTTTAGTAGGAGTTGGATCAGCTATAATGTGACATCAGAATTACAGGCTATGCACTGTAATTCCCCTTTATTACGAAAACATTATTTCTGGTTTTAATTAAGAAACACTTTTTGTTTGTAAAATAGTAATATTTGGAAGAGGTGTAAATTTATTCTGGTTTTGCAAATAAACTGAAGGATATTTAAAAGGTGAGATTTAAATGACGTTCGAAGTTGTGTAAATGTAAGTGGTCATTTTTATGGTCAAAAATATATGAATGTAAAATAATTGCAGATATTGTATATACTTTCTGTAATATATGTATATTTGGTTTTAAGGTGGGTGGAGAATTGTAAAAAGTAAGCACTTTAATTTCCATTGAATACTTAGAAAAAAAAAATCCTGTAAAATAAAAGCATCATTCAATAAGTATTGTTGGCTGATTCTTTTTTGTTGTTCTCGTGGTTGGTTGCTTTTGTCCACCTACTGTTTATTTTTCCTGCTGATGAAAATAGCATTTCCAGTTGTGCAAGTGATGGTGAGGAGCTATGTTTGGGAACAGCGTTACCTAATGTGCCAAAATACAACCA